ACACGTTGCAGCACAGCACAACACATACTAACACTCTACCACACGTTGTGGTATGCTGCATCTAGCAAAAAAACAGTGCACGTCTGATTTTTTATCCATTCTGGAGCATTGACAGCCCATTAATTTTAATAGGCTCATAATGCATCACTCAATAATGTGTAATATAATGCTTTGCATTGAAACAATTAACCGGAATGGACAGGCGTGAATGGCCCTAAATAAGCGAACATATTTCTTTAATGTTACGATGTTCTGATTTTGTTTTGCTTTTTTTAAATTTTGTATGCAGATATAATTACGTTGTGTTTAAGTATAGTTTAAATATTGTTTTGAAGACACATATATTTTTTTTTTTTTATCCATTGATTTATTTGTATATTTTTAGTAAGTATGAAATACACGTTTCTAAAGATGAGTGCATAGTTACCTAACTTAGAGTATACTACAAGTTTCTGGAAAAACCCCATAAATTTAATATATTTACTATATGTATTTAATTAGTAATAACAAAAAAAACAGTCAATAAATGTAAACCTTTTTATATCTGAATTTCTAATAAGCTATATAAACCTCAAATGAAATAATCTTTAGGTTAGATAATCATTCTAACATTTGAATCCTAAATATTATATTTCCTATAAACAATGAACATACTGAAAAGAATGGAGCTTTTTATGCAGGACTTACATGTTCATAAATAAAGTACCCAATGCAAGCTTTCATTAGGAAGAGCAGTCAGGGGGACATACGCCAAAACCCTGAACAAGCATTTTTACATGTTATTAGATTTTTTTTTTTAACCATTTTACCCTGGTGTGCTTGTTAGTCATTTATTCTGCAACTACAAGTCCTGGTGATTTCGAACTGGTAAGTAGCCAAACATGTTGGAGCCTCTTGTGACTATAAAGCTAGACATGGATGTATCGAAAATTCAGCAAGTTCAGCAGGAAACAGCCAAATCTTGATACATCTCTGGGCAGGCCAGTTTTACTGAAGTCGATTGACAGATCAACTTTAGTACAATCAGCCTGCTGTTTTTTTTTCATTCAATCACTGCCAGTGGCCATAGCCTCTCCAGCGCTGTTCGTTATATTCTGGAGGTTGGGGAAACTCCACACTGTCAAAACACAATAGCGCAGCGGGAGGGATTCCTCCATCAACACTGACTGTGTTGACGGGGTAGTTGAGGTTTTTTTCTTTCCTTCAACCCTTGGTTGAAAAAAAAAATTGCATAATCTATGGCCAGCCTAAGTTTTGGTGAATAAAAATCAACTGTCACTTTTTAACCTTAACTTCGTAACCTTTAACTGAATAAAATACATAAACAAGTGCTAACACAATAAACACCAGGATGGATGAGAGTATTTTTTTCTAACTTTTTAATGTTACATTACATATAGTGGCGCACTATACTACTAGTGACACTAGAGGGTTGTACTAGCCATTGATATAAACAAAAAACTGGAATTATAACAATACAATGAATTGCTAACAAAGGAGATGTAAAATGCAAACCTTCATCCTTTGTCATACTACAGTCATGGCCGAAATTGTTGGCACCCTTGATATTTTTCTGAAAATCAAGTATTTCACACAAAAAAGGTATTGCATTAACACATGTTTTGCTATACACATGTTTATTCCCTTTGTATGTATTGGAACAAATATAAAACAGAGGCAGAAAAGCAAATATGACATAATGTCACACAAAACCCCAAAAATGGGCTGGACAAAAGTATTGGCACACCCTTAACTTAATATTTGGTTGCACACCCTTTGGAAAACATAACTGAAATCAGTCGCTTCCTATAACCATCAATAAGCTTCTGACACCTCTCACCCGGAATTTTGGACCACTCTTCCTTTGCAAACAGCTCCAGGTCTCTCTTATTGGAAGGACACCTTTTCCCAACAGCAATTTTAAGATCTCTCCACAGGTGTTCAATGGGATTTAGATCTGGGCTCATTGCTGGCCACTTCAGAACTCTCCAGCGCTTCTTTGCCATCCATTTCTGAGTGCTTTTTGACGTATGTTTGGGGTCATTGTCCTGCTGGAAGACCCAGGATCTTGGACGCAAACCCAGCTTTTCTGACACTGGGCCCTACAGTGCGACCCAAAATCCTTTGGTAATCCTCAGATTTCATGATGCCTTGCACACAGTCAAGGCACCCAGTGCCAGAGGCAGCAAAACACCCCAAAACATCATTGAACCTCCACCATATTTTACCGTAGGTACTGTGTTTTGTTCTTTGTAGGCCTCATTCCGTTTTCGGTAAACAGTAGAATGATGTGCTTAAACCGAAAATGCTCTATCTTGGTCTCATCTGTCCACAAGACGTTTCCCAGAAGGCTTTTGGCTTACTCAAGTACATTTGGCAAACTGTAGTCTTGCTTTTTTATGTCTCTGTGTCAGCAGTGGGGGTCCTAAATGGGTCTCCTGCCATAGCGTTTCATTATTTAAAGTCACGGATAGTTCGCGGGACACTACGCTCCAAAACCCTGAGGACAAGCATTTTTAATGTTTTGAACATGTTTTTTTAACCTGCTTATTACCCTGGTATTCTTGTTGTCATTCTTCTGCAACTACAAGTTTCCTTTAAATGTACATCCGTCCACGACCAGATTTCTACAGTGCTGGTAAGTAGCCAAACATGATTGTTGCGCACTTGTGACTACAAAAGCTAGATCATGGATGTATCGAGAAATTCAGCAAGTTCAGCATTGGAAATTTTGCCAAATTTTGATACATCTCTGGGCAGGCCTCGTTCCTCTTTCTGAATGTCGATGTGACAGACAGATCACACTTTAGCACAATCAGCCTGAACTGTCTTTTTTTTCTGCTTTCAATCACTGCCAGTTTCTATAGCCTCCAGCGCTGTTCTTGTTATAGGTGAGGTTGGGGAAACTCCACACTGCAAAACACAATAGCGCAGCGGAGGGATTCCTCCATCAACACTGACTGTGTTGACGGGGTAGTTGATGTTTTTTTTTCTTTCCTTCAACCCTGGTTGAAAAAAAAAAAATTGCATAATCTATGGCCAGCCTAAGTTTTGGTGAATAGCAACTGTCACTTTTTAACCTTAACTTCGTAACCTTTAACTGAATTTACATGAACAAGTGCTAACACAATAAACACCAGGATGGATGAGAGTATTTTTTTCTAACTTTTTAATGTTACATTACATTTTTGGCGCACTATACTACTAGTGACACTAGAGGGTTGTACTAGCCATTGATATAAACAAAAACTGGAATTATAACAATACAATGAATTGCTAACAAAGGAGATGTAAAATGCAAACCTTCATCCTTTGTCATACTATATTCTTAACAAGCAGTAAAAAAAAGCTTTAAAAGAAGTCATCAATGACCCTTGTAGCTGCATATACTGTGAGTTAATTATTCCTCAGAAATCACAACAGAAACTCTAAGGCTGGGTGCACACTATTTTGCTGCAGTAGCGTGCATCACATGCGTTGGTGTGCTGCAGTGCCATTCATTCTGCAGGCAACATACCTGCGCATGCATTCTCCATAAAAGCTTAGGTGTGGTTTTAATTGTGCTGTGCTGAATGGGCTGCCATAACACAATGTACAACATTTCTGTTAAAAGAGAAGTTTTTTCCCAAAAATTATACTTATGTAGCTAGATGCAGCATCAGTCTGACGCTGCATCTGTCCCCTATTGGCTCTAAGTGTGAGAACTCAGTGTTCAAATGACCACTGATTGCTGAGATATCAATGCCGCTGTGATCAGAGAGTGGTGACTGTCAGTCACCACTGTCTGCTGTGCCCCCCATGCTTACTGGAGCACTGGCCTGTGAAGGGGAGGGAGTGACTGGCTCAGGCTCTCAGCATCTCACTGAGAGGCTGAGCCAGACGTCACTCCAGACTAAGGGGTGGATCCAGACTTTCCCCAGCCTGGACAACAGCCAACAGCGAGCTTCAGTCCGCTGTCAGCTGAAAACGGGTCACAAGAGTGCAGAACAAATTGCACTCCTGTGATCCACAGGAGAAGTACTGCCAAAAGAGCTTTGGGTGTACTTCTCCTTTAATGTATGTGCATTGCCGCACCACACAAATGTGAACCTGGCCTAAAGTCAGATTTCAGTCAACCTCTAATGGCTTAGAATTACCAAATGTTTGTTTACATTAAAGAGCTGAAAAGTTTCTGCAACTCCATAGAATGTTACGGGGAAAGGAATTACAGTGCTTCTGTTGTGAAGTTTGAAGATGCATTTCTCCATAATTTCTATAGCTACAGAGGTGACTGGGACATGTTTTAAATTGATTTTAATGCTTGTAATTGTGAGTATGTAAATAATGTGCATAGCCCGGGCATCTAGGCACAGGTTCAATTTGAATCAGCAATTTTTAATAAACCGTTTGGATGTTATTTTGAAGATCCTTGGTGTGTTGGTGGCATATCTTATAAACAGTGTTATGTTCTGGTTCCAAACCGATGGTTGCTGCAGCACCAACTTACCTTGCAGCCATTTATAGGAATGTCTGTTGGGAAAATTTTATTTATAGTAGACTCAGGATATTGTATAATTTTCATTGCGGTAACCCTATTAGTTGAATCTCTTAGTTAACAAGCATTGCTATAAATATCCTCATGAATGTTAGCAAAAATACAAAAAAGATGTATGAATACAGCTTTTCTGTGAACTGCTATTCGTGGCTACCATTACAAAAATATTAGATAACTAGTTAGTGGTTGCATGCCCACCACTAATCCTCAGTTCTGGCAATGCTGACATATATAAAATGTACATAATTAATTGTATAACCATAAATAAAAACACTACAGGAACCAAGGTGACCTTCAGGTATATGTTCCTTTTGGATATTAAAGTGACTCAAAACTGCTAAAAGTTAGAAAATATATATAATCTTATTCAGGTCTTCAGTGCTACATTTTATATAGTTTCCTTCCTATAACATTTCTTTTAATAATTATACAATTCCTACAGTGTATATTGTATCTATATTTTTTCTCATTTGGCTTTGTCTTCCTTTTCAAGTTCATTTTCTGAAGGTGTGATGCTTTCGGGAGTTGCAGTTGTGCTAGGTGACAAGTTGCACAAGCAATCTTTACTACCTTCATCAATGATGTCAACTATTAATATGCTGTCTGTATTGCTTTCATTGCTGAGATCTTCTGTATTTTGATCCAATAATTCATTTACAAGAAGAGAAGAATTTGTTGTGTTATCTATGTATGTGGGCAAATTTTTCAGTTCAGACTTTTCTGTTTTGGCACTGGCAGTTTCAGTTGCCATTTTGTCCTCCACTGATTCATCTGAGGGATGACCATCTACAGTTTCCTGCTTGGTCTCTTCTAGTTGAGCAGTTCCTGGTAACTTTTCCTCAAAACAATTGATTCTTGCTGTTTCATATTCTTGATCTGTCTTAGCATCCTTAGATTTTTGTGACTGTTTTTTTCAATGATCTATTTGAAGTTGTGGTCGTTTTAACTGATTTACATTGCTGAGCTTTTTGTTTTGTTGGGGGTCCCCAAATAAAGTGCTCAGGAGGCTGGTAATAAAGGCAGGCATACCGTAAAAGTCTTCTTCTTTCTCTCCTTATCTTTATAGTATAAACAAAATATTCCAGAGCACTCTGTTTCATATTTGGGATTGTGTTTTCAACAATGGACTCCTGTAAAAAGACTTTTACTAAGGGAGGCTTGAAATGTTCATATCCAAGTTCTCCAAGACTTTTCAATATTCGTGTGATTCTCAAGTAGTTGTGCTGAGATCTGGAAAGAAAAAGACAGAAGATGTAATTTGTTGCCCTAATATTGAATATCCAAGTTTCTCAAAAACAGAATCAACACAAATACACCTGCCTGGTACAAAATGCCACTTGGGAACCACTCCAGAAGAAGATGTCAATATTAAAGAGGCCCATTATTTTTGTGTTGTGGTTCAGATGCAGCCACATGATTTGCCCTGTGGGGTTTCACCAGGTCATGAGATGATGCAAATAGTTGATACACATTATTTGCTCCATGGGGTTTCATTAGGTTATGAGAAAAAGCAAATAGTTGATACACAATATAAAAGTATTGAGTCGTTCAAATGCCTTCTCTATGTATTTCTGTACTATATCCATGTCTTTACACTAATTAAACCAAACATGCAAGTTACTTTCAGCTAGATGGACAAATCCTGTTTGATTTAGAAAAAGATATAAACTTTATGTCAACCTTGTCAACTTGTATTTGCTTCACAGACTCAGAATTTGGAATGTTTCAGCCTAACGGCTTTTGTTCCCTAGAGATAAAAGTGATGTAGTGGATGTCTATATAGTGCACAAAAATGCATGTCTCTAAAATTTGAGTGTGCAAATTTCTGTGGTTGATGGATGGAAAGAGAGATTAGTTTTCTATCTCAATATCATTTGAATATCAAACTGCCATCCCATGTCTCTGGTTATATTTAAATAGATCTCCTCTTGCTAAGAAGAAGTTGTGAGAACTCTGTCCGTGATCATCCTCATCAACAGACTGATGGGACCTACTGCAGTTTCTACCCTTGACTTTTCTATGAGGGGCATATGTTGTAGAGTTGGCCATGACTTGACTGTGGATACTTTACAGCATACATGCTGGAAAATCTCAGCAATATACAATATATATTAGATGCGTTTATTATCATTAGGAAATTCTTATATTCAATTTTTAAAAGCCATAGATAGAACAGACAGTGTTTAAATTTAGTTACACAATGATTATAAAGATCTGCCTGCACTGCACAGACAGGGTTAACTGTGGCCCACCACAGCTGCCCAGACCCCTGGGCAGACAAGCAGCTGGGAAGGGTGGGGGATGGATGTAAAGTGGAGTTTCACCCAAAAAGGAACGTTCACCACCCCTCTTTCCCCTGCAGCCTTCTGGGACACTTCACAGTGTGCTTCTCATATGCAGTATGAAACTGGCTGTGAAGCTGCAAGGCTTCACTGCTGGCTTCCCTTAGTCAAGATGGTGGTTCCAGCACCAATAGCCAATTGAAGAATTGGCTTGGGTGAGGACACCACTGGATACCTGGACAGGTAAGTGCCCTAATATTAAAAGTCAGCAGCTACAGTATTTGTAGCTGCTGACTTTTATTTTTTTTTGGGGGGGGGCGGAACTCCTCTTTAACACAGTTTAGCTTGGAAGGAGGGGTGGATTTAGCGAAAGCAGTAGTAAGAGTACAGCTCACTTCAAATCTACTGGACTGGGTCTTTAAACTATAAACAATCAAGTCTTTGCAGTGGCTAATGATTGGTTATGGTAAAGGCTATTTAGGCTTTAAAGTTGTTTTAAAGGCAATTAAAAAAAAACTAATTAAAATAATAAACATGTTATACTCTTCTGCTCTGTGCAATGGAATTGCACAGAGCAGCCCTGAACCTCCTTCTTCTGGGGTTCCCTGACGACAATCTTGGCTCTTCCTTTTCTGTGTCTGCCCCTATAGCATGCGCTTGCAATGGGGGCAGATATGAAAGGTTCAATCCTGAGGTGGGTTGTGTGTCCATTAACAAGCACAGTGTGTCTTGGCCTCACACCCTGCTCACAGGATTTTACTGACAGCAGCAGGAGCCAATGGCTCCCACTGCTCTCAGCCAAGCTTCTGAGAGTGGGGAGAGTGGTGTGAAGACCTGCAGATGGTCACAGTGCTGGATAAACACAGGATTCAGATAAATATTTGGGGGGGGGGGGCACAGCAAATGATAAATTATTTTTTTTATCTTAATGCATGTGTTACCATTAGAACCACTTTAAGTCATGTAAGGGAACTTGGGTACACTGGAGTATTATTTATGCCAATTAGAAGATACTTGTTTTTTTGTTATTTAGTGTGAGAATGAACTGACATACTCATTTAAATGCTGAAATCGGTCTTGCCAGTTTGCAGCTCGGGAAACATTTCCAATCTTGTCTACCAACTTCAACCCAAAAAAATCCAGCATTATCTTGTATGCCATAATGAATCTTTTGGTTGCTTCCTTTGTTTTTTTAAATTCCTTAAAAAAAAAAAGGTATAATGTCAATACACAAACAAATACATTTGAATGCATTTTAATACAGAGATTGAATAGCCAAACACAATGAGGTGCTGGAGAAAAAACAAAAAGAGAAAATGATGTAATGCAAACATTCTTCATGAGCTCAAGCATGCTCTCGCATCTAATAGTAATCATTCTTATGTCTGTACACTGCCAAAACCCATGACAGGTTTTCAGTACCTTCAATTCCCAACTTCACCCTCATCCCTCCCTATTTCCTACGTTCCTGCCTTAGATAGTTCCTTTACCTATCCCTATCTACTGAAATTTTCTCTTCCTGATTCAAAGCTGCAGTTCCTCATAAAACCTTCTTGAACCCCTCCACCCTCTTCAGTTACCATCCTCTTCACACCAACCCTTCTCATTCATATTTCAATAACCTCTTCACTCTGAACTGTAAAACAATTGATCCACTAATTTAGTAAAGACTACTAAGCTGCTCTTTGCAAGGTAATTGTTCCTAAGCTTAGTGAATGGTGTGAAAATTCACTTCAGAAAGAATACACAATCACATGCAAAAACAACCCCCAAAAACAACAAGTTATGTTTGTTTGCAAATGATTGGATGATGGAAGTTAGCAGAGCTTTAGCTCACATGTTAAGCTAAATGAAAATTCTCTTGGAAAGTGGACAGCCTATTTGCCTCTATTAAATCAATGTTGTAGTCTTGTCATTTAGCTTTAGCTATTGGAGTCACCTCAATCCATCCATGACTGCAGCTTAACTTATCAGCATCTCTTCTTCCTCCACAACAGTATTTATCTTTGTCGCCCCACCACTGGCTAACAATTATTCAGAGAATCCAATTACCTATCCACTTTTAACCTACAGAGCTCTGTAGAGTTTGGAATCGCCACATATTTCCAGATACCATCTCAAAAGTAACCAGCACTCCTCTCTTTACCGTAATAATTTTCTAACACTTGGCATTCATCTACAACTTCCACTCTTTGGAATACCTTTCCACATATTGTTCAGTATTGTTCAACCGTGGACACTTTTACACACACACTCAAACCCTTCTTCAGACTATCATATGATTGTAGCTAAGTTATTCTCTTCAGTCACTGACTTACTTTCTTTCTCTTCTATCAAGGAACACATCCTCAACTCATATACAGTTTGGTAATTTCCTTTTCCTCTTGTTTCTGCCCTTTTTTCCTCTAGTCTGTAAGCTTCTATGTATGGGGCCTCCTTCATATTATTTTTTTTATTATAACTCTACAATATGAACAACAAATAAAAAACAGATGCAGCGCTCTCGTCAGGGTCTCAAGTTAGGCATGTGAGAAATCTGAATAGTTGGTGCCTTGGCTCCAAGTGTCCTTCAAACAACAGAACAAAATACAGATAGGTGAGAAGAACAGCATACATGTTTCAGCAAAGAGCCTTGGTCATAGCCCATACCATGAGTTATGACTAAGGCTATTTGCTGAAAGATGTAAATTGTTTTTACTGTAGCTATTCTGTAGCTAAATAAAGACTTTGATATAGATTTGTGAGTTGCCAGCTCTTCTCACCTATCTGTAACTCTATGTATAAACCTATAGAATAGTTTACTTTTTATGGCAGCACAGTTGATAAATGGTTAAGACTTCTGCCTGGCTGCACTAGGTTTGTTGGTTTGAATCCCAACCATGGCACCACCTGCCTGGAGTTTGCATGTTCCCCCTCTGCCTGCGTGGTTTCCTCCCACACTCCAAAGACATGTAAAGCACTGCGTAAATTGATGGTGCTATATAAGTACCTGTAATAATTTATAATCTTTATATAACTAGTCCTTAACAAAGATACTTTTTTGGGAATAAGTAAAGACAAGACAGGAATAAAATAAAAATATAAAAAGAAGAAGAAACTACTTAGGAGATTGCTTTGCAGAACACCACCACATGCTCTTTCCCACTCTACAGATTATTTGTAACTGAAATTTCTTCTCCAAAAGCTGATGTTTACATTTCAACATATGTAGAAGAGGAAGTACTCCTATGAATATCTGTATTTCACTGTCATTTTCAGGAGGAAAGTCAAAAGAAAAAAGGGGGCTATTTGTCTGCCAGCAGGCTATTCGGTCTTTCATTTGGGTCTTTCATTGGTGTATTTCTTCTTCTACATATGCTGGCTAATTATAAATATAATGCCAGTTTTTTGGAGAGAATATTTCAGTTACAAAATGTGTGTAGAGTGAGGAAGAAAATGTGGTGATGTTCTGCAAAGCACACTTTTCAGTAGTTTGTTTTAATTTTAAAGCCGATATTTTCAAGCTATACATCAAGTTGGATCACAGAAGTGGTGCATTTGCTGGGATTTGCATCCATTTTCTAAAGTGTCCCTCTTCTTTCTGACATTTGCATAAGTGGCATTTGTCATAAGAAAATGGCATATCTCAGGGATCACTTGAGAAAAGAACAAGAGTGGTAAAAGTGGCATTTATGAAAAATGGAAGCAAATAGAATAACGTATTTCAAACCAGTTTGGTAAATACAAACCAGAAAAACTAAATTTCTAATTTTAAGTCACTTTAAAGCAGAACCTTACTTCCTTCAATCAACATTACCTATTTTAATTCTTATACTGCTAGCCTTGGTAAATGGATAGAAAGGTATATTATGTTCACTTGTTTTACATTTTTTTTACATTTCTTTAGTTGCCTCCTGGTTTCTGGCCTAGGCCAAAAAAATATCATACATCTCAAGAGTCTTCAAGGGCATTTTCTTTCTCTGGAGAGGGGAGAAGGGGCATTCTCAGCTAAGCAATCCCTCCTGCTTGCATGTTTGACCTTCTGAAAGTGTGCTGGCAGCCCATGTATATTGTACTGTGCATGCACAAGATTTTCTAGGTCATCAACACAGTAAGGGTGGAAGGATTCCAAGAAGTAAAAAATACGTGAATCATCTGCCCTTACTCAAGATGGCCCTTTGGGGGGGAGGTGTTAAAGTGATTTCTCCACAAAATAAAGACATGGATGGATGGGTGAGCTTGCTTTGAATATTAAAAATGAATTAAATAGCATTTTTTGGTTGTGGTGCTCAGTTAAAGGGTAACTTTCCTTGCGTTCTAAACCCATACATAATGGTGTGATAGAAGCTCTAGGAATATATACTGTTGACAGTCTAAAAAAAATAACTGGAAGTAAGATGAACGGCAGACAGAAGAAAGCAGGAAGACAAAAGCTGGAAACCAAACTAAAAAAAATAAAAATTACATTCTCCCTTAATTTTTCTGTCCAGAGCTTCTTTTCTACCAACCTCTCAACTTTTGGTAACTCTAATTTTGTAGCACAAACATCAAAAAATAATGGACGTAAAAACACAAGTTGAGTGTAGGACTTCAATTTACAAATTAAAATAATGTAAAAATATTTATACAAATCCATAATAACTGAAAGAAGATCACCGTTTAAACATATTGTTTAATTATATGAGACAGACAATCAAAAACAGAATATTATTAAGGCAATTTCATATTACTAAGGTACTGTACCTGCTACAAAAACACATTATACTGCTCAAAAAATATTTCCAGATGAAATTGCCATTAAATAAACAATATAAGATTGCTAAGAATGTGCTTGAGGAACATGCTTTTATAAAAATACATGAATAAATATAATATATTAATTGTAAATGATCTCCGCAAACATTCTATTACTATTCATTGTTTATTTAATAGATCTGAGGGTAGCACGTCAGCTGGAGACCTTGTTTTGCATATCTCTGTGCTCATTAGTAAAAAGCCACTAAACATTTATAAAAAGAGTGACAGTTTATTAAAGACAGCATAAGGGAGCCTTCCCATGTCATTTGCTCATTTGAAATCTTCTTATAGCTTGATGTATTAATAGATGTCACACAAGCACTTCTGAGAACATCAAAGATGTCTCCTACTCGGTTTCTCACAAATCCATGAAAACAAATGTCAACCCTCAAAGCGATGGCAGAGAAAAAAAAAAAGAAAGAGAAACACCTGCCTTTATAACTGAGCATTATTAAACATGGACTGCACAATTACGTTTATGAGTTTCTTTATGAAACCAGTCATCTTAATTGTACAAACAATTCTGGTTTACCTCAATTTCGTATGAGGTGAGTTCCTTGGCGTAGAAATTTAAACCTTGCTCTCTTAGAGGAAAGAGCCTGAAAAAGAAGAAAAGGACTGTAGTCTAAGTGTTATCAAAATGCGCAGATTCACAGGTCTTTTTTCCAAATACTTGTCATTTTACAGGTTTAGGTGATAACCAGACAACTAATGAGGCAAAGTGGGCTGGAGATGATCTTTGCTACTTAGTCCAGTATACTTCAGTACACAATGCACAGTAAAAACTTGTAAGGTACAGTCTTTAAAGCTGAATTTCAGGCAAAGAGCTAAAAACACAGGTTAAATACATGTAAGTTTACTATTTATCCTCCAAAGGATTTGTAATTATGAACAACTAATCTTGTGCACCACAAGAGTATTAACCAGAGGAGAGCACCGCATCCCAATGAGGATATCACAGACAAGAAAAATACTGCAAAGCAGTTGGGACTTTTAAGGTACTGATTAAATATTACAATAATACATACAAATTCTTATTTTTTTATTATTCCATATCAAACATTAAGAAAAACGTTACACAATAAAATCAATAAAAGTATTTTTCAAGAACAGAGAACTATGTTTAAACTGCTCTGAAAAGTTAAACCCAGCAAGACAGAGTGGTTGAAACCCCCAAGAAAAGGGAGGTACATGATTGGCCACAGCACATAGTTACATAGTTAGTGTGGCTGAAAAAAGACAAAAGTCCATACAGTTCAATCATAAAAAAAAAAAGTTATAATCCTATACCCACAGTTGATCCAGAGGAAGGCAAAAAAGCCCAGCAAAGCATGATCCAATTTGCTCCTGCTGGGAAAAAAATTCCTTCCTGATCCCCCGGAAGGCAATCGGATATTCCCCGGATCAACTTTCCCTATAAATGTTAGTATCCAGTTATATTCTGTGTATCTAAGAAAGAATCAAAGCCTTTTTTGAAGCAGTCCACTGATCTGGCCAAAACCAACTCTTGAGGGAGCCTATTCCACATTTTCACAGCTCTCACTGTGAAGAAACCTTTCCGTGTTTGGAGATTAAATTTCTTTTCCTCCAGACATAGAGTGCCCCCTTGTCCTCTGTGATGACCTCAGGGTGAAGAGCTCTACACTGAGTTCGGACACCAGGGAACAGATAACTTCTAAAGGCAATATTCCAAAACTGTCCAATGCTGGCAGATGCTAAAGTGGAGATACCAGTCACCAAATCACAATGCTGAGTAAAATAGCCAATGTGTCTAAGTTAGAAAATCAGCTTTCCATACTGACAGAGCACCACAAGTCATCTGCCAGGACTGGACAGTTTTGGGACATTGCCGTTAGAAGTTATCTGTTACCTGGTGTCGCTCCTGTGGCCAATCATATACCTCTTTTTTCCTGGGGTTTCAACCACTGTCTTGCTGGGTGTCACTTTTTAGAGTAGTTTGAACATAGTTCTCAGCCATTTGTGCTTGGATTGTTTCTATAGGTGATATATGACATATTTCCTGAGAAAGCGTTGAGAAGGTGAAACATGTTGAAATTTACTACACCATGACAATTTACAGCAAAATATGTGTTGTGAAAACTCTTCAGTCAAAAGTCTGTTCTTGAAAAAATACTTTTATTGATTTTATTATGTAACGTTTTTCCTAATGTTTGATATGGAATAATAAAAATAATACATGTTTATTTATTGTTGTAATGTTTAATCGGCACCTTAAAAATCCCAATTCCTTTGGAGTATTTTTCTTTTCTATGAGAACTAATATTGTGATTTCCACACATTTTCCACTTTGTACAACCAGACCGGTGACACACATAGTTACTGATTAAGCAATTAATTTACCTGTTCAACAATTCAGCTTCCTATAACATCTGTTTAGATCCAGTTTGTCCACTGGTCATCAAGTCATCATCACCTTAATTCCAGTGACAGGGAGGCAATCAAGGAAGCAGAAGTGTGTACAGTGTGGAGAGGTGTGCAAATCACAATACTGGTTGTGCAGAATTACAATTCCCTTGGCCAGAAAAAAAGAGTTCCATGTTTGTTTAATACGTTTTTATAAAGAAGGTGTAAACAGGTATATACAAAACAATGTGACAATGTGATACAGAATTTGTCCATATGGAGACAAAATAAGAATAAGGAAAAAGAAAAATAAGGTAAGAATACAGGTGTTGGTTGGAGATGCGGTTAATGGCAGGGGCGGACTGACCATTTGAGCACTTGGGCACTGCCTGAGGGCCCTGGGTCAGTAGTGGGTCCCATGAAATGCCTCTGGCACCTTTTTATAGGCTTTTTTGGGTGTGCTTTGAGTGTGCGCAAGGACACAGGGGCCCCATTATCCCCTATTGCCCCCCCCCCATGAGTTGTCAGTCTGCCCCTGGTTAATGGTGTACAAAAAATCAGTACAATAACAAACCAATATAAAGCACAATCCAAAGTGAAGAAGAATGAAGAATATTTGAAGACAAAGGTGTGTATAAACATCAAAAGTACACAATAGTCATGGCACAAACATTTCCAGAAGGAGAGAAGTACTGTAAGTGTAGAAGGAAACAGAGTAAGGAAAGAAAAAAGTAAGAAGCAGGTAGGGGGAAGTGGAGAAGGGGCAGTTGGCTAAATCTTTCAGGCTTACTAAATTATTGAAAAAGGATGGTAGGCTAATCCGAAACATCAAGTGCTGAGGCAATCACTAGGTGTTGAGCAAAAGTCTTAAACACAAAACCAGCAGGCTCATATCTTGGTATGTTTTTCAGGAGTATGTAAGAGTTCAACTAAAACAGGCATCTATTATAGAGAGCAGGCGGCAACACTTACCATTGTATATATGTATGATTATGTTCCAATTTATCATAGTCTGATTTCCATTTGTTTAGAATGTCTTCAATATATACTCCTGAATGAAAACAAAGCAGCATTCATAGAGAAGACCCAATGATTTACAAAAATATTAGCCAAAATCATTAGCCATTACTAACTGTAGCACACATTTAAAGCAGTATTAAACCCAAAACCAAAAATGTATTAATATGCAGTTCACCAATTCTTAGATGTTCTGGCTGCTCTAGTTTTCCTTTTTTTTTTAGACTTTTTTCCTTTATTTTCACCTGTTGATTTATTGATCGACTTCTCACAAATGGGACTGCTGGAAAATTTCAGTTCAAACAATGCTGCTGCCAATAGGCTGCGGCACTGATCAGTGAATTCTGACAGTAAGGAGGCAGGGGACTCGCCCCCTGTCAGAATACAAAGACAACGTGGGCACATTCCTGCATCCACAGAAACTGTGTAGATGGGGGAATCAGGTCTGTTTTTTTTGTTCAGCCTGCAGGCTAAACAAAAAACATACCCATGTATGGACATGTTAACACTACCCTATCCCCAGACTTACAATGCTGCTGTCCAAAGGACAGGTACAGTTTCATGTGAGAGCACATTTGTTTTTATATGCCTTTTAATAAAATGTTGGTAAGCAATGAGGTCTCCTCTTTGTGTGTGTGTCTTACCTTGGGTCCAATGGAATGAAATAGAGGTCTTAGTGGTCTGCTCTGGGAATCAGTGGTTAAGGTGAGGAGAAGACCCACTAGTCATACAGATGTTTCCATTTCTGAGGTCGGAGAGGAGCAAGTGGAATACAACCAGGACAGTGTAGAGATTATCCACAAAAGTGCATTCAGACCTTCTTATTAATAAGGGGTCTTTTATGTTTGGTGAGTAGGCATTTTTGAGGGTAAGAGGCACAAACACTGGTGTGTGTGTTTCTTCTTTGCAAGGAAGCTGGTACAGAGAATATACAACACATTTGTGTGGCCTTTGTCTTGCATTTTGAGATTAATTCACTTATTTATGAAGTTTTGTGGCACTTTTGCACTTAAATGCTTTTTTTTGCACAAAATGATATAAGGTTCATGCTAGTTCACTTTTTGTTTATACTGGTTAATTTTTTTGCATGATATATTTTAAGTATTCTGTAGAGATTTTTATGGTCCACTTATATATTGCACGTTACAAAAGATTGGATGTGAATGTATAGGTTCATTTATATGGTTTGCACTTTATTTGGTTATTATTTTTATTATTAGGTTACTAGAACTTTAAGTAAGCACCCTCATAACTAGTCTATTCAGTAGAAAGATACCCTATAGATCCACGCACTTTTATAAGCAGTGCTGCTTCTCTTCTTCTTACAATCCTATGCTGTCCAAAGGATCATCTTATGCTAGATCACCAGCTGAGTTAAAAGGAAAAAAAGCCTTAAAAATAGAAAACTAATGCAGACACCGCATTCTAAGGATTGGTAAGCTGCAAAACATTACATTTTTGTTTTGGGGTTTAATACCACTTTAAATTTACATATAGAAAATTATTATTTGGTACAGGTCTCCACTACTGTGTTATAATCAGTATCCTTCTCATATTGTCACCACGTTGTTGTCTTTTTTATTTTAATTTGTTTAGCTGTTTGTAACCATTCCTGTTCAACTTTTGTACAATTCAATGCTTTATACTGTAGTCTGGGTTTTTTTATTCAATAAAACATTTTGCCTTCTTGGTAAGAAAAAAAAAAATACACATAGAGGCAGATTTAGTGCTTTTGAGATTGGATTTGAGAATGTTCACACACAATAAAAACATGTGACTATGCACATCAACTTAAGTGTTCTTGTCAGCGCTATAGAGGGAAGAACACTCCATGCTAGGGGTCCAAATAAACTCCTCTTCCCTCTTGTGGAACCAAAGACGAACAATCACCACATGGAGCCAAAACACCACTTGGGCCTTGCTGCCCACTTCAGTTCAGGGAAAACTACATTGGAATAAAAGCAAAAAGAAGGTGCACTGGCCTAGTGCATCACCATAAAACCTTTTATTAATAAAAGCTCCTATGGTAATGCACTAGGGCAGTGAGCCACCTTCTTTTGCTTTTACTCACATCAACTATCCAATCATGTGTTAAAAGAATCCCTGTTTACCTATATCAGCACCTTACTGGATATTTGAAGTGAATCTTCATCCATTCTCAAATCCTTTAGTATATCAGCCTCAGTTGACCTTACACATTGGATATTTACTCACCAAGTTAAAAAAAGACAATGTCCACGATATTTGACATTATATTTAACCTTTCAACAGTTTTGTTTAAGAGGATGGTAAAAAAAAATCCCCCATGGTAACTGGTGTTAGGAGAAAGAAAAAAGAATTAGCTCTACATACAATCCCCTGCATCATGTGTTTTCACCTCTTTTTGTATATACCCCATAATGGTATTTGGTTTTGGAGCTGCCAGATGGTATTAGGTGAGACTCTATACCATACTCTTAACCAAAATACCCAAGTCCCACTCAGCTCCCTTCTTTCCTTTTGTGTTTTACTTAGGCAGAATTCACACTACTATGTTGTAGTAATGCAGGGGTGTACATGCAATGCAGTGACCTACCATTCATAACATAATTATACAGTAAACCAAAGTAGACTTGGTCTCTAGTGCTTCACAGCTCACATATATGGTACTGTATGCAATGTGGTGTGCTGACATTCTAAATTAATGGACTGCCTTGCAACATGAAAAAAAAAAATCATCTCCAAAACCCCTCCTTGTGAACAGGCAGAGAGGATAATTATCAGCTCACCAGATTTCCGATTTCAAAATCACAAGTGACCATTGGAGATGGAGACTTAAAGCGTCATTCCCCCAATATCAATTTTGGTGAATGGGAGCAAGAAACCAGACGGAATATTGCCCATTATTGTTTAAAGCACTATATGACTTCACTATAACATAAGAGTCAAATTCCTTTGGTAAGCCTTCCAGTGTGCCTACCTGGTGGCGGAGACCCATCCACAGTGAGATTCACAGTAACACTTTTTTTCCAGCTGTTTTTTTTTTGGAGCACTGTTTCACATATTTTTATAAAACTGTGGAGTTTCTTTAGACTTACTTTGGATTGTCATGTTTATGCTTTTATTATTGTCAGATTTCATGAGCTGACATGGTGTAAGTTTATATGTGAATAGTGCAGCGCAGTACATTTATGATTATTGGTACTATGTATTATATAGATTGCTAGCCGCTTTCCGTTTCATTTGTCACTTTATTTCACTAGTGTGGTTTCACCTTAACTTTTCAAAACTTTGAAGTACTTTCAAAACAACATTTGTCAAATCACTGAATGTACTGCTGCTATTTTTCTCAATTATTTTTATTGTTTTGAGTTCCATAATATGAAAAAAAAAATGTTATCATTAAAGCATGTGCACTTTATTCGAAAATATACTAGCGTATGTCCAGCTTTAGAAATAAACTTGAAAGCTAGTCATTTTAGTTACAAAATTACCTATTTTCATGTACACATACTCCTATAAAATGCTAGCCAAAAAAAACAGGGATTTTTCTACCAAAAATAACTCTGCCTAGTAACAACTAAGTTTCCCAACCAGTTTAGCTGGAGAGGAATATCCCCAAAAGGAGAGCTTTGCACTCTGCAAAACATTGGGTTTACCCAGTATTTACACTTTATTTTTATAAGTAATAATAAAAAAAATAAATAATTTAAAAAAATTGCAAACTTAAAAAGTTCAAAATAAAACTTTGTAACTGTTCTAGTCTCCCGCTAAACCAAATCTATTAAGCTTTATGATGTGTTAGCTGAAGGTTCTAGACTATGCTACAGTCATAGCTTGCTCTTTTTAAGTGACTCTACCCTCTAAATTCTTCATTAAATATAAAAAATGTAAAAAATTCAGCAGCTGAACAGGACTCCTGTGTTCAAAGGGAAACTACAGTGATAGCACAGTAAGAGACCTGCAGCTGAAGGATCTCTACTTTCACTGACCTCCTCATAGTCCATGATCACAGCATATATGAAAGCTTAACTTTTAGTAAAGAAAAAAAAGATTATGCAGGTAAGGACCTATATACACAAATATTGTTTAATCCGACTTTGTAATGCAGCCCTAATCTAAAGGGCTATAGGTTCAGATTCTTTTAGATTGTAAACTCTAATGAGCAGTGCCCTCTGTTTCTTCTTATACCAAATTGTATTGTAACTGTAATGTCTACCTTCATTTTGTAAAGCGCTACGCAAACTGTTGGTGTTATTTAAATCCTGTATAATAATAAAATTCAGAGAGTGTATATTAATATTTTTTTATATACTTATGTTATTTATTATCCTAAAAAAAATTATATGTTCCAAGTTATAATAGTAATGTTTCTGTTTGTCTAGTCAGGTGAACAGTAGATATTGCATATCCATATTTCATGCTTATTTCTGGCTCTGTTAAAAGAGAAATCTGTTTACAGAGCTCAATACTTTAAGCTGAAGTTTACATACATACAATACCTGTATATGTCCTAAAATTGATTAATTTCCACTCCCTAACCTTATGTGACTGCTGTGTTCACACTGGGGGAAAGAGATAGCCTGAACACAAACAGCTTCTGCTGTGCCGTCTCTTTATCAGAACCTCTAATGTCCTGTGACACCTGTGCTATTAGTGCAACCGATGCATATTTTATATAAAAAGTAAAAAAACCTACAAAACATGTTAAAACATACAAAAACAAAATATCACTGACCCAAAACCTTTATAATTTTAAAAAGCAGTATTAAACCAAAAATGAAAAATGCAATATACTGCAGCTCACCAATCATTAGATGTGGTGGCTGCATTCGTTTTCTTTTCTTAGTCTACTTTCCCTCTGTTTTCCCCTGGTGATATGGCCAGTAATATACCTGCATTAGAGTGCCCACTCTGGATGAAGGAGTACAGGGGGCATATTTGGACAGCAGTATTTTTAGTCTAAGGGGGGAGAGTGTTAGATATACAGTACAGCAGATTTAAATACAGTAACAAATTGAAGCTGAATGCCAGCTAATACTTTATAATTGGTTACAGCAAACAGTTGTTTTCCTTTTGGGGTAAAAGATTTACATAAATAAAAGCTGATCATTTTAAACAGTGTTAAATGGTCTGTCTAATCTTTGTAACTACAAGAGTGCTTTTTCTGTTTGAAAAATAACAAACTTTCTGGCCGGATCACCAGATAAAAATAGAAGAAAAAAAGTCCTAAAAAAAGGAAACTAATGCAGCAGATCACCAGGGGCGTATCTGCCGCGAGGCAAACAAGGCATCTGACTTGGGCGGCACTTTTCAGGGATGCGGCACCGCCCCCAGGCAGAAGGGACCACTGCTGTTGCTGCAAAGGGCTGTGCTTGGCCAGGGGGGGCGTGTCAGCTCGGGCGGGTTCGTGTGTGTTTCTGTGCTCAAAGGCAAGGGGGAGACAGAGAACAGTTGCTGTCCTTTTCCCTCACACTATGGAGGCGGCAGAAAGCTGTCCCTGAGGGGGCCGGTCTGCGGCACATAGAGGACCATGCATTTCTCTCTATGCTCTATGTGCCGCCAGTCACCCTCCCTCTCCCCCCCCCCTCTCTCTCTCCTCTCTCTCTCTGCAGGGGATCTGTCCCCCTCTAACATATGTAGTCCCCCCCCCCCTTCCCTCTCTGCTGCTCTCCCTCTCTCCCACAGTTCTCCCCTCCTTCTCCCCCCCCCCTCTCCCCTTTTCCCCCCTCACACAGACGGGAAGTCTCTCTCCCCCTCTCCCCCCCTCTCTTAGTGCCATTGTGTCAGTGGAGTGTCCCAATTGTGCCCCATCCATTGGTTGCCCCAGTGCCAGTGGGAGGAATAGTGCCCCATCATTGGTGTCAGTGGGAGGAATAGTGCCCCATCATTGGTGTCAGTGTGGGAGGAATAGTGCTCCATCATTGGTATCAGTGGGAGGAATAGTGCTCCATCATTGGTGTCAGTGTGGGAGGAATAGTGCCCCATCATTGGTGTCAGTGTGGGAGGAATAGTGCCCCATCACTGGTATCAGTGTGGAAGTAATAGTACCCCATCATTGGTGTCAGTGGGAGGAATAGTGCCCCATCATTGGTGTCAGTGTGGGAGGAATAGTGCCACATCATTGGTGTCAGTGTGGGAAGAATAGTGCCCCATCACTGGTGTCAGTGTGGAAGTAATAGTACCCCATCATTGGTGTCAGTGGGAGGAATAGTGCCCCATTATTGATGTCAGTGGGAGGAATAGCGCCCATCGTTGTCAGTGAGCGGAGCTCTAATAGGAAGAGGTGGAGCCTAAATAGGAAGGGGTGGGGTTTACAGATGAAGGGGTGGGTCTTAAACAGGAAGGGGTGGGACAAATTTAGATGCGGGGGTGCCTGATTTTAGTCTTGTCTAGAGCAGCACAAAACCAAAATACACCACTGGCTATCACATCTAAGAGTTATTAAGCTACAATGTAATTATGGTTTGCAGTGATGCCCATTTAGTGTTTATAATACAAATGCAACTATCCGATTCTACTCAATGCATGCTGTTTATTATATGTGTAAAACTAATTCCAGCATAAACATACCATCAGGCTTAAAAGGAATCTTGTTCATGTAAAATCTGAGATTGCACAAGTCATTTTGACAACGTAGATCTTTAAAATTCTGCTGAAAAACAAAGAAAAATACCTAGTGATATTCTGACTGAACCAAGTATCATTAATAATAATGGATGCATTGGTAGCCATTTTGTAGAGGTAACTGAAAGATTAGTGGCCATCAACACTGCATATTCTTCACAATTAATGGAAAGGAGATCCTATCCGAGTAGATGTTTGGGCGTTTTCGATGTTGACTATCTTTTAAATGTAAGCATGAGGGTTATCATTGCCATCCATTTTATGCTACTCTATTAAGTCAATGACAAAAAAGACCAAGTATGCAGCCAGTCCATTTGTAAGTCTCAAACTTGCATACTTATTTCAGGTCACAAACTCAATATGTATTAAAGCAAGGATGAGGATGAGCTATAAATCTTCCCCCCTTATCCATAACAATTTGCCATTCCTTATTTCTATCTTAATATGTTCGCTTTAATAAATCATTTTTTTCCCACTGTATGTTTTACATTATTCATTGAGGTAGAGCCACACACACACTAACACGCATGTGCGACCGGCCGGCAGCCATTTTGGATCTGTTTGTAGTGCTTTTAAAAGGAATTGTGCCTTTTATCATGTGAGTGCATTTTATATTTCAGTACATTTTGGATATTTGAGGGTTTTACACTATGTGGAGAAATTTTTTATTACATGTTTAACCTCATGAGCTCTGGTGTCATACTACTTGTTTGGAGTGGTTGGAGCCATCATATATAGGGAGACCGATTTGGGAGGATTATCAGTGTCTTCTTTGGGTATCCTGATAATGATTCTTAACAACTACCATAACATGTAATGACTTAGGTTTGCCCCAACATCATACTAGTTATTATTAATTCTTATGTTTGGTGTAAATTCATGCAATATTTACAAAGAATTATCCATGTTTCTATTTTTCTGGATGTCACCTATAAAAAGCGTAGTTTGACCACTCTTAGCAGAGGGTCACATATCGTCTGGTAAGCCTTGCATGCAAGTGGTTGGTTTCACATTGGCTATCCTTGGAAGTCTTATCTCATCATGGCATTTGGGGACTGTTCTGCTTTGATCTCACCATTTGATATTTCACTTGTGAACATTTTGAGATTAATTATTATTCAATATTATTTTCACATTGTATATGAATTTTGTTTCATTAATTTAAGCGCTGCACTTTATTTGTACATTATACAGTATGTTATGATTCAGACAAACTCTGTAGGATAACTCAATTCCACTACTTGCTATAAGTATATATGTAGATTATGTCTGACAATAAGAATATACAGTATAGGAAAACAAATTGCCTTTACCATAATCATCAGCTCTTAATTCCAAGAAATTGCTAAATACCTAAAAACTAGAAGCTATGATGGAGATTATTGTATTAACGGAGATTATTGCAGTGCTAAAGCTGGTCATACACTAGTAGATTTTGGAATTAACGTTCATATGAAAATCTGAACATTCATGCAAAAATTCTCAGTATTTGTGGTGATTTGATGACAGTTGTTCGAAAGTACTTCAAAACTTAATTTCCTTTTAAACATTTGGTTTTGGAGTAAATAGATTTTCCTGAAAAAAAAACTACATACGCTGTAAGAAATTTGTTTGAGAACAATTTTCCATCCTGCTCCTTTGAATTTTCTCTTCAATGCATTCAAAAACAAAAGCCAATTTCATCCCACTAACAGAAAACCCCCAAAAAACAATTTTTAAACATAAATATTTTCAAATGAAATTCTACTAGTGTATGGTCAGCTTTACACACTAACCATGTTGGCCATCCAGTTGTTAGGAGACAATAATTCTTTAATGAATGCTCTCTGGGTTAAAATAAATCTGTGTGATTTATGTCCTGAGCTATGTAGGCTATTGTTTGAAAATCCATGTGCTTGTACTCCTCATACAGCCCTATTGACCTTGTTTTCTATACTACACTGCTCTGTTACAACCTCGTGAAAACATCTCACCAATGAGATTTTTTTTAGCAATTCACAATTCAATAAACATGGATAATTCTTTGTGAATATTATATGAATTTACAGCAAACATAAGTATTAATAACTAGTATGATGTTCGGGCAAACCTATGTCATTACATGTTATGGTAGTTGCTAAATATTAGCATATATGTGCAAATTAATTCTACAAACTGCTTTCCCGAAACAACCTATAATCACTAACAGAAATAATCATATTACACTAGCCTAAAGTGTAACCTTTGGCACTATCCTCCACCCACAGAACCCCTTACAGAAAGTGTCTTTCTTCATCACTAGGCAGGCCTGGACTGGCCATAAGGCACACTGGGCATTTGCAAAGTGGGCCAGGGCCACCTGGAAAGGAGGGGGGGTCGGGTGGCACATAGAGGAACCGGATCATGTATTTGCTCCTGCCGCCACTGAATGCCTGCTTCTCGGCTGCTGGCGGCAGAAGAGAAATGCATGGTCCGGTTCCTCTATGTGCCACCCGGCTGCCCCTCCTATCATCCCCTGCTGCCCTGGGATCCTGTATGCTCCCTGCACAGCCACACCCCCCTCATCTCCTGCAGCACTGCTGCCAGGTCCCCCCCTGCAGCTGCTGCATGGGATCTGTCAGAAAAGACTGTGCCCAGTGCTGTAGTTCCCCCCCACCACAGACGGGAGAGGAGAGAGAAAACTGGTTGTGCCCCTCCTCCTCCCTACTCTGCCTGCCCCGCCCACACTCCCTGGCAGTCTTGTGTCTTCTCTCCCCCCTTCTTATTTCATTCCTTCTCTCTTTCTCCTTCTTTCTCTATTTCTCTTTTTTTATCTCTCTCCCTCTGTCTTCTCTTTCTCTTTTTTCTTTCTTTCTCTCTTTCCTTCCTTCCTTCTCTCTTTCTCTCCGTCCTTCTCTCTCTTTCCTTCTTTCTTCCCTCCTTCTCTCTCTTTCCTTCCTCCTCTCTTTCTCTCTGTCCTTCTCTCTCTTTCCCTCCTTCCCTCCTTCTCGCTCTTTCCTTCCTTCTTTCCCTCAATTCTTTCTCTTTCCTTCCTCCTTTCTCTCTCTTCTCTTTCCCTCAATTCTTTCTCTTTCTCTCCCTCCTTCTCTCTCTTTCCTTCCTTCTTTCCTTCAACTCTCTCTCTGTCCTTCCTTCTTTCTCTCTCTCTCTCTTTCTTTATTTCTCTCTTCCCTTTCTCCTTATTTCTCTAATTATCTCTCTCTCTTCTCTTCTCTGTCTCTCTCTCTCTTTTTCTTTCTTTCTTTCTCTCTCTCTCTTTTTTTTTCATTCTTTCTCTCTCTGTCTTTCTTTCTCCCATTCCTTCCCGTCTTTCCCTTTGACCAAAGCCCCCCAACGCTCCCCAAATGTTAAAAAACAATAAAATAAAAAATTATAAAAATTAAAACCTACTGAGACTAGTGACGGAACTACCAGGGTCACATAGGTTGACTGGGCCCTGGTGTTCCACCACCAGGCTCCGAGGAAAGGGTCCCTGGGCTTATTACTGCTCAGTCCAAAATGCCCGGGCCTATTTTTTGTCCCAGTCCAGACCTGTCACTAGGGTCAGTAGTCCTCCTGAATGGAAATGGAATGGTGCCATTGGGTAATATAGAAACCTCAAGAGGAGGCAGAGAATCAGTCTCCTCTGAAGAAAAAGGGCAGGGAGTGAGATTTGAAAGCATGCAAAATTCAAACATTTAAAAATGAGGAGGTTGGAGTTTTGGTTTAAATAGTCCCTGAGGATGCATGTTATAACAATTCAACAGCTGAAATTGTGATTTTTCCAAATGGCCATTGGTGACTGTTTCTGTTTAGGCCCATTTTAACACAGAGAAGGCACTTAGAAAAGAAAATAAACAGAGAGGAAAAATATGTCATAGAAATCTCTTACTGGGTATTGGTGTCGATACTTGTACAAATCTCTTGCTGCATAAAAGCTTCTCTTTGGTTTTATGTTTTGTTCCAATGCATTGCTGTCATTCTGAAAAATACAGATTGAAAGAATAAAAGCATAGTAATAAAACCCCATAGATTTCACAGTGGGAAATCAACACATTTACCTAAAGGTTTAAACATGATTTACAATTGAAGAAAATATACACAGATTATTATCATTGAGCAAAACATTCCCCATATGTCCCCTGAACTGGTTTTCTGTACTGGAGTTCTCATTATATGTGTGTCTTCTTATTCAAATTGAAAACAGTGGGATCTGTCTAATTCCCCCATGATGTTAGACTGAATGACTCAGAATAATGCAAATGACACAGGTACATTGAGGAAAGCAGGAGTGTAGTGAGATCTATCTAGGTAACAATTAGTATCTTTCCTGAGGGCACTCATTAAGTACAATGCTGTACAGACATTCCCTGTACCCCACTGTCTACATGATGGCTCACAACAGTATACTGTCCAAACAGTAGAGGCTTACACTTGTACCCTGTCTCCTATGCTGGAAGGCCTCATCAACTCTATCCCCCAGCCTGATAGGCACATGGCTTAGATTACACAGTACATTTTTTCAAATAGCACATGCTTATAAAATAAATGAAAAGTAATGAGAGAATATAGGTAATGGCATTCCTGACCTCTCCTTTTGAAAATGCTAGTTGCTTTGGCTGTAATGGTACTCCAATTGCTTCAATACCTTTTAAGACATGGACACTGAACAAGTATGACTTCACTCCTAACCTGTGAGCCTTTTCCGGGTCAAAAACTATTAAAGCTGCATTCAACCAGGTAAGTTGTATTTTTAGAAGGAAGACAGCAATGGTGGCTCACATATTCCTATCAGTATAGGTATCCTTTAAATGTAGCTGAACCCCCGAACATATAGATAAAAAGTAAATCTAATTCTTAACCTAGCCACTCAAGTTAATACTTAACATTAACCAACACTTACACTTAACCCATACATTTTGTCCTTAACCTAAACATAACATTTAAACTAAATTTCAGCTTCTTTTATGTGACAAAGAATTATCATTATGAAAAGTATACAATTACCTAATAAAAATAAATCTGCATTGAGTACAATGTGCCAAATTCTGTGTAGTAAACATTCCTATCATGTGATAAACTACTGATTCAGTACAATACTTTATTACTTTAAAAGAAAAAACTGACAACTGCTGATTTTACAACTGTGCTGGCAGCAGTGTTCTCATATTTGTATTGTAATTTTGATTATACATTATTTATTGTAGGTGTACAGAGGGTCCCATCATCCATGCATACAGAGTGTAAGCAAAAAGCAAATAATGCATGTGAAGTACAACTATAACACATACCATAAATACCAATAGAAAACTCTGCAAAGTAGAGTGGTACAGTCAATAGAAAATATTTTTAAATCCTGTTTTGGATTCTCCTTTAACTAGCTCACAACTAATTGGTAGGAATAAACAAGGAGTACTAAAGTGTACTAAAGACATCTAAAGAGAGCCTGAGATACCTTCCCTCTCTATAAAGGAAAAATAGAGATGCTTTGAAGTTGATTTATTAAAATCAGAGAGTGCAAAATCTGCTGCAGCTCCGCATAGAAACCAATCAGCTTCCATTTTTTTTTGTCAAAGCCTAATGGAACAAGCTGAAGTTAGAAGCTGATTGGCTAACATGCACAGCTGCACCAGATTTTGCACTCTCTGATTTTAAAAAATCAACCCAGTTTTAGTAAATCAACCCCTATTTTTCCCTCTTGCCCTGAGCATATACTCTTTTGTGCATGCTTCCACATAGGAAGTCATGTGCTTGAAAGAAATTATGGTTTTAGAGCTGCTGACATTGAAAAAGCCAAATACGAACAACAAAATAACTGATAATCTGTATTTTTATCATAAAGATGCACTTATGCTATAAATGCTTAACCAGCTTATTGTAATGCATCTATGATTTACGTTACAAAAGCACAGTTCTCTTTCGTATATATAAATCCTTCATGGTATATTAAATGAGCCAGTCTATCCCCTGAGACAAGCAGAAGTTGAAATGATAAGTAAAAAAAATACAGCTTAACACAGAGAAATTTCTGGTAAGAATATATAGTCTTGCATATGCTGCAAGGAAATCTGCTTCATATGTCGCATTTGTTACATTAAATCAAACAACTACTAGACATGAGCTTAAGGCATTAACTCCACAAATTTAAAAGATTAATTGAACATAAAATAACACCTTAAAGCATAACTCCACAAATGCTTCTACCCAAAAACATACAAGATTAGCATATACAGTACTTTAATTAATAAGGATTCTTTCCAAGCATTTTACTGACAGTTTATATGTCATTTCTAGGGCTTTCCCCAAGGAGCTTATGCTCAACTGCTGAAAGTATATAAGCAAATATATATTAAAGGGGGTTTTAACTTTCAGCTACATAGCAGAGTTCCCTTTGATTTTTGGTGCCTGGCAGCATAGATACCAGTCAGCAGTTCTCAGCCAGCTGCAGGGTTCCTAGCCTTTTCCTGGCTTTCTTCAGTTCCGTAGTAAGACAACACAGTTCCTGCCAAATTTGCATGTGACTCAAACAATCCACAATTTATTACAATAATGAATACGCATATTTTTAACTTGATATAAAATGTAAATGTGTAAATATGTTAAAATTATATTAAAGGTTTTTTTTTTTTTTTGCTGAGCAAACTTACATGCTATTGCAGTTTTATAATTCTTCTCTAAGCGGCCATCTCAACTACCCGCTACCCATGCTGCTCACCTCTAGATACGTGGGTGCCTTCCCCTCCTCCTTCACAGCAGCCCCCGAGTCAGCATGGATTTTGCTCATCTTGGGAATAACATATATGTATATACAGTTGTGTTCAAAATAATAGTAGTGTGTTGAAAAAAGTGAATAAAGCTCAAAATCCTTCTAATAGCTTTTATTTCCATACACACAAATGCATTGGGAACAGTACACATTCTATTCCAAATCAAAACATGAAGAAAAATATATCAAATTTGTGTTGTTCCTCTAAAGAAATTGAAGAAAAGTGATATTAGACTGTTCAAAAAAAATAGCAGTGTTTGTATTTTTTTTTCTTTACAAACTCAAACATTCACTATATAAACTGAAAAATGTTTGAAGATTTTGCTTTCCTTTGAATCACTTAATGAATATTTAGTTGTATAAGCACTGTTTCTGAGAACTGCTGTACATCTGTGTTGCATGGAGTCAACCAACTTCTGGCACCTGTGAACAGGTATTCCAGCCCAGGATGATTGGACTACATTCCACAGTTCTTCTCTATTTCTTGGTTTTGCCTCAGAACATTTGCCTCATTTTTGATGTCACCCCACAAGTTTTCTATTGGATTAAGATCCGGGGATTGGGCTGGCCACTCCATAACGTCAATCTTGTTGGTCTGGAACCAAGATGTTGCACGTTTACTGGTGTGTTTTGGGTCGTTGTCTTGTTGGAACACCCATTTCAAGGGCATTTCCTCTTCAGCATAAGGCAGCATGACCTCTTCAAGTATTCTGATGTATTCAAACTGATCCATGATCCCTGGTATGTGATAAATAGGCCCAACACCGTAGTATGAGAAACATCCCCATATCATGATGCTTGCACAACCATGCTTCACTGTCTTCACAGTGTACTGTGGTTTGAATTCAGTGTTTGGGGGTCGTCTGACAAACTGTCTATGGCCACTAGAACCAAAAAGAACAATCTTACTTTCATCAGTCCACAAAATGTTGCGCCATTTCTCTTTAGGCCAGTCAATGTGCTCTTTGGCAAATTGTAACCTCTTCAGCACATCTTTTTTGCAACAGTGGGACTTTGCGGGGGCTTCTTGCAGATAGCTTGGCTTCACATAGGTGTCTTCTAATTGTAACAGTACTCACAGGTAAGTTTAGACTTTCTTTGATCTTCCTCTGGAGCTGATTGTTGGCTGAGTCCTTGCTATGTTGTCCCCTCTCCAATCAACTTTTTAATCACAGTACGCTGTTCTAAACAGTGTCTGGAACGACCCATTTTCCTCAGAATTTCAGAGAGAAATGCACTGTAACCAGCATGAACAACATTTGCTGCCTTCCTTCCTTAAATAAGGGCAATAATTGCCACCTGTTTTTTCAAAGAATGAATGACCTCACTAGGAGAATTCCCCACTGCTATTATTTTGAACATGCCCTTTCAAATAGTGATTCAATTATACAGAATCAGCAGAGCATGCATGTCATGACTGTTGGGTCTGTTGGATTTCTATTACTCTACTACATCTGCTAGTAAATTATTTGCCATGTAGAAATATCATTTCTACCAAAAACAGTGATTGATCAGGTTAGTGATGTCTGACTGCTATTATTTTGAACACAACTGTATATATATGTTGACAAATCTGACTGTACTCTCAGAAATATGTATTTTAATGCTTCTTTACTGGACTATGGCCTGGGAATGTGGAGATTGAATGATCAGTTAATGAGAGCTCAAAGGATGCCATCAGGAAACAAATCAATAAATCTTGGTAGTCATTGTTTGAAAAAAAAAGCTTATCTATTTGTATGATGTGATCTGGCATTAAGGCCCATATTACAGTGTTCTAACCTCTAATAGCTTCCAGTTGAAAAAAAAAATACCACCTCCAGAGCTACTGAAAATGTACATTGTCCTTTTACATGAGAGTTATAGTTTGTGGTCTCCAAAACCAGCCTGTGTCACTTCCACAGCTGTTCATGTGGCAGCTGAGTCACTGCAGGATCAGCCAACTGGTTTGCAACTGGGTGCCATGCTTGATTCCTGTTAATTGATGCAAAAACATTTGAACTTCAAAGAGTTCTATTCAGGTTCAAGTATTTAGACTTTTCCAGACTCCCCCACTGGTTCTTACTAAGAAGTGCTGCTAGACACTTCCTCTGAAGTCATGCCCAGGAAAGCCATTCAAACCTGCTGAATGCACTTGAAAGTTGCTAAGGTGTCTGAATATATGTTCCGAGGGTCCCATACCTGTTGTTTTGGTTTCAGTTATGATTACCATTTAC